GCAGGAGCATCTGTGACTGAGCGCCAGGAAGTGCTGTCTGCCTGTCACAGACCGACAGCACTTGATTAGAGGATCTGCGAGGGTAAATAAAAGCCACACACACACACACACACACACACACACACACACACACACACACACACACACACACTTTGATAGGCTGATATCATTAATTAAGACAGGGGAACATGCTAGCATAGATTAGGGAAGGTGTGTGGATCTGGATGGTCTCACCAGGTAGGACGACTCTGTTATTAAACTGCGTTATTCACACCTACATCAAGGCCTGCCTTGAGGACACTTTGAGGATAAAATAAGTAACGACACGTGGGTGTAAAGGCTAAAAGCTCGAGGTGTAGTTGCCAAGTCATTAAGACCATTAATGAATGGCCATTAAGCCATTTAATGTACAGAAAAGGAGGAGGAATAATCATCTTGGCAACACTGAAAGCAACTTCAGAGCTTCTTTGTCTTTTACCGACCTCACTAGTGATTACAGTCTAGGAGGAATAACAGTAATCAGAGGACTGTACAACATCGGGGAAGTCAGTGTGAAGCATGCAGGTTTCCCACCCCTTTTCCACTCACAATTGCTACTCTCTCCTGGATTTACTCAAGCCAGTGGACACAATGATTACCGCTATGGCATAGAGTGAAAAGGCCTGCACCTTTTGGGCTCAAACATTGAAGTGATGAACGGTTTCACATTAATGGGATGTGTGCAGTGACTCCTATTGCGGTCCAAACTTTTTGTCCCATTAGGATCCCTCATTTCACCTGAACTTTTTATACTTCAATGATAAACTTCTCTTTATCTCATAGCGCTGCCGCTTTCTAACAGGGTTTGAAAAAGTAGACGCTACCCAGGACGAGGTTTCCAACACAGGTAAACTAAGGAGGAAGGAGAAGTCTAATTTTTAATTACTTTTGCAAAAATACCCCAAAACTGAAGTGTTCTGTACAAAGAGGCTCTTATCTATTTGTTTGCACAAGAGCCAAAAAGGCTGGCGAGGAGCTGTAACTGATTTGATGATTTGATGCCAAATGTTTATGTTATCAGTAATCTGAAGAAACAGTCACTCATTTTGATTACAAATAACAAGAAAACAGGGAAAATAAATCAGTTTTCCGTTACTAGAAGGGATTTTTTTCAGTCGCCCATTGTGTTTGATTTGACACTCTAAAAACTTAATGGTATGACATTAAGCATATTGAGAAAAACATATACCCGTGATCAAAATATGTAATGTTCTCAAACATTTACACAACTGATTCATTTGCTATCAAAACAGTTGCTGATTAATTTTCTGTCAGTGGTCTGAAAGATTCATCTTCTTGCTGTTTGTGCTCTACTCGTAAACGACCGAATGAAGCCAAATCACTGCCAAGCAATTTAGCTGCTTTTGCCAAGTATGACAGTGCATACTAAATGTGACACTGAGACGTTTTCAAGCACACAGTGTGGCAAGCAGTGCAGCCATCGACGGAAATGGAAGCGAAGGCAGAAAACACAATGTACCGGTCGGTGCGAAATGAAAGGAAATACCAAATGTAAGTATCTTTGTAAGGTGTTGGACAACCTCAAGGTGCCAGAACAGCTTTGGTGGTTTTCGGCATATATTCACACATCTGAAGTCTAAACTCTCTTGGACAAGCTGAGCACCATTCTTCCAATTCTCTCATTTGGTGATGATGAAGACCAGTGCCTCACACCTAAAGCTTTTCGTTTCCAATTGGGCGTCCAGATGCAAATCCTGTAATGTGTGATTCACCTTTATTTTCACACTCTTTGCCGCTCTGCTTTTGGACATCTGGATTTGTTGTTGTTTGCCCAGGTTGTCCTTTAATATGCCACTTATCTGTTTGTATATAACGGGAATAAATCTGATGCTTGTCATCAAATGTATATCTTAAGTAGATCATCAGTCCTTAGATTGATTAAGGATTCAGTCACCTGGGCCTAGAGGCCAGTCATTGACACCCAGGCAATCGCTGGTTGATAGGGAACAGTGCGTGCTCCGGGATCAGAGAAAGACTTCCTAACCACTTGCCAAGTGGAAGTGACTTAATTTGTGACGTATAACCCAAACGGAAACAAAGACCGTTAACCTTCAAAGTATAAAATGAGCCTTTTGAAGTATTTGGTTGCAGCAGTAGGGCACAACTTTTACCTAAAAGGTGAAAGTTCTCTGTTTCCAGCACTTTTTCAAGTTTTAGGAAAACTTGTAGACTAAACTCAGGCAAGTCAGTGTCTTTTATTCAAACTACAGGGAACTGTGCTAATGTGCTAACAACCAAAGGAATCACAAGGAGATTTTTAATACAGCACCCTCTTTGTAACCAGTCCCCTTTGGCGTTGTGTCAGGAAGGTCATCCGGTTGCCGTATTACCTCATAAGTTACCTGATTTAGTGGTAGAGTGGTTGTGTTCTTTTGGCTGTTATCGGCAGTTGTAGTAGTAGTAGTTACTGACATTTTGGTCACTTTTTGGTGTATTCTTACCACCAACAATAGAGGTTAAGACCAAGAAACCTCTCCCTACCCGTTCTATAAAGTTGCACAGATTCCCACAGGGCTGTCAGCGGCAGTAGCACTGTAATTATGAATTAAATTTCTAAATTAAGGTGCACACAAAAACCTCTTAGCACAAAGTGAGGAGGGAAAAAAGGCTGTGGATTCAGTTCAGACTGTTCAGCGGTAAAGGCTGTAGTAAGCTGTAGTAAGTCATGTCTCACATGCTGCTCTGAGGAATTTGAACGTGCCAGTCATGTGTTACGCTCTTTTGAAACTCATGCTGAAGACTACCTTCGTGACTGGGCCCAATGTTGCTACTTTAGTGTTGATGGGGGGAGTGTGCGGGGAAGTTTTGCAGCCAGTTGCTTCCTAACAGCAGACGGTGACTGCTGCTGTTGTTACTGCCATGTCTGGCTTGGACAGTTTCTATGGTAACCCACCCACAGGATAGCAATATCTACGAACGAAGAGGAAACTAGGGTTGCTAGGGCTTTGGATAATGATGAGACTTCGCTTTATTTCAGTCTCTCCCACACAGCAAACAGAGATGATACGGTGAATCTAACTAAACCATTTCAATTTCATCAAGTACTTCTGTAACTGAAAATTTATGAAGATTTCATAAGCAGAGTGTCTAACTGCACTTGAGGTCATGCATCCGTGTTTATCAGTGTGGTCGACTGAATTAGAACAACCCTGTTTAAAGCCCTTGAAATTCAACAAAGTTGGTTTTCTCTCTGGGTAGATTTAGTTTTCCACTTCTTTAGTTTTCGATGCTGTTGCCTAATATTGTGCTTTTAATGCAGAAGCACACACCTTTGTACTTTCCTGATATCTCATGCTCCTCTGTGGCATACTCCGAGTAAATACACAATTCTTGCTCAGTCCATTCCCATGTTTTTCTGCTGATTGGGTTAGGAGCATATGACACTCGTTACTGCTTTTAATGTAATTAAATTTGTTCTTTTTTTTTTAAATAATAAAATGTCCTTGAAAATTGCTTTTACAGGAAAGCAAAGCAGCTTGATAGATGGATCTCAGATAGAAAATCTGTAGTCTGTATCCATTTAGAATTTTATTTCCTATGAAAATCCATACAGTGAAAACTTTTTTTAAGCTGTAAACGCACGAAGCAGAATAATTTAAAAGAACTGCAACACAACAAAGGCCAGGCATCGCAGGATTTGCATTTAACTTAAGGTTTGTGACTTTTAGTGGTTCCACAGTGTAGTGGTTTACACATTTGCCAGACAAGTGGAAAGAAAAGATGGGAAAGATCCTGGAAGGAGACACAAACCTCTTGAATCATGAAGGGCATCTGATGTAGAAATCTGCCAAATCAAATACGTGGAGCAGCTGAAACTACCTAAGGTTACCTAAGGTCAGTGACTCACATGGGAAAAACCACAGCAACTTGGGAATGCCCTGAAAAGCAAACAAAAAAACCCCAAACAAACCCTTAGACAATCGTATAGCAGCCAGGTATGTGGAGCAACCACAGCAGTCGGAGTATCTGAAAGGTTAGTGAGTGATATATGGAAACCTTGCGAATACCCGAAAAACTTCTAATCCAGTTTTTGACAGTTCAGCAACTTATTGCTTATTGTGCAATGTTTTTTCCCCCCAAATTCAAGATAGAATCATAAAACATAAATTCTTCAGGACAGTGTTACAATTCTCGCCAGCAAGCAGGCACAAAGAATGTTTTCAGGATTTGTTTTTCCGGATCTTGTCTGTTTTTGGACCTTTTGGAGAAGATTGGATTGATTTTAAATATGCTGTTGTTATACTGTTCCCTAATCCAAAAATTTTTTTTTTACTAATCTGAATAAAACATGCTCTACTATATTTTAAATCAACTAATACAAGTGAAAATATTTGTAAATATCAAAACTAATCAGTGGTCAGCATTGTTCTGTCACTCCATTTGGGCAAAATCATATGTCGTCCTATAATACCTTGCAATGAATGAAAAGAAAAGAGGCCTTAAAAATTATTAAGACAGTACTTCCATCTATATTCTGCCCTTGCCTTCGCTATCCTGGATGTATGAGCTTTACAAGGCTTGGAAATGAAAGCCTTATTTCAGTCTATCGGCTCTTTATCCCACTGTGTCGTGTCTCTGGTGAATTCACCTGGGGTTATATCAGCTAAAATTAGACTCTCAATTATGAGCAATTACCGTCAGGCCTGTGGGCCCCACAGTGTATTCACTCTCTTGCTCACACCCGCACTGTGCCACGCCACTCCAGTTTATTGCGTGACTGGGTAAGTACAGTAAAGTGAAAGTGCACTGGGTAAAGCTTTGCTCGCACTTCCTCAATCTCATTTTTGCTTCATTATTTGTTTGTGACTCAATAATAGTAAAGACTGCAAATTATCTAACACGCTGAATACTTGGAACTTTCCCTGGAGCAGTGTAGCATAAATATGTGCTAAATCCATCACATGTTATCTCAAGCTTATCGTGGCCTGCTGTAATTGCAGACACTCGATCTAAATATGATAAACGAGCAGGTGCTTTAAAGGCTTCATTTGTGGTAATATGCTAAGTAACTATACCTCTGGGGGTGACCCAATATTTGAATAGTTAGTTAAGCATAGCATATGGACTGAAATGTCCTCAGCAGCACCAGCAGCAGTCTTAATCATGTGATTACAAAGGCAAGTTCAAACTGGGTGCTGTTGTAAATTTGTCCCCCATTAGAAAATTAAAAGACCCGTGTTTTTCTTACATGCAAGGGCATTTAAGAGCCAGGACCTCTTAGAGGAGCTGATGTTGCCTTACAACTAGGAACCATATGCAAGAGAGCATATGTCCGAGAAACTGTTCACATAGAGATAAGATGGATATGATTTAAAAAGTAGAAAAGCAAACATCCTTATCTAAGTTTTGACGTTAAAGTGCTTTTGTTATATCTGGTAAATTTAAACCACTGGCTCTTGACAGGAAAAAGATTAAATCTGTGGAGGAATCTCCAAAGCTGTATGTCTAAAAAGGAGCTCATGCTTGTGCTCAGTCCTACTAGCTACTAGTGGTTTTAGGTTGGCGCAGTACTGACACACTGCACTGAAATATTTAGACTGGCCCATTTAATGAGTGCGAGCTAAAGCCTTGTAACATTATAAAAAAGTGTAATCAAGTAACCTAATAAGTCAAATATATGCATATATAAATTGACAGAGTAAGTTTTATTTTGAATGTGATGTAGTGATGCTGGTATTTAACTCATCTCTGCTCTATTGCTCTGCTGAACAAGGATACTTGCCTGCTGAACCATCAGTGGCTTCCATGCATAAACAATTCAAATAGAGCTGTGTCCTACTTTCATTTCTTTTATTGTTGCCAACAATTGTCTGAGCCTACTAACAACCCAGCACCTGATACAGTTCACTGCAATCGGTATATTCCTGGCCAATGGAGACTGTCCAGAGATATGAAGTATCACAAGTTCCAAAGCTGTTGCTACTGGTACCTTCTGGATGTTGCTTTGCTTACAAGCTTGCAGTATTTAAAAAAAAGGGTGCCCTTCATCCATCACTTGCATCAAAGTATCAACTGCTTGACTTCCCACCAAAGACCATAAAGATGAACCATTAATGATGCGGCAACCCCTTAATTCTTACAGAGACATTTTGGGAAAGTAATTAAGACCTAAGGTTATGTAGTTCCTAAGACAGTTTTGGTATTTCAGCTGCCTGATAAATCTGCACACTATGGATGTGTAACACTTGTATGTTCCTTGGAAAAAGCCTTTTCCTTTGTACACCTTTGGAGATGTGGTTTAAGCACATTTTAGAGTGTACAAGTGCATTGCATGTGCTGAACTCCCTGCACACCTGAACTAAAGTGAAATAACACAGGAAGGTTAAAGCATGTAATTCAGTTCCTAGTATTATTTACTTACCCCCAGGGAGTATTTCCTCTTTAAAGTTTCATTTTAAAAGTGCAAATAAGAAAATGGAAGTACTCAAGTACTGAGGTTTCAGTTATAATTACAGTTATTCTATGAAACTGTAAGCATTTCCATGATGTTTTGGCATTTAAAAAGCATTTACTGCACTGAGTATAAAATCTGTATTCTTAATAGTTGGTTGATTTAAGGATCCATATGTAACAAAACCAAAGGAAGCAATTGGTCTTCACTGGTTGTAAAACTCTTAATGAACTGGGGTGAAAAACTGCCTTAAAGTGATTCAGATTGAAAGTGACACACCTTATACTGCTGATAATTTCCCTTGCTTTGGCTTGGTGAAATATCACCTCAGATTTTCTTAGAGGATAACTTCAGAGAGTAGGTTTATTATAGTGGCAGATTACTCCCGTCATTCATAGTGTGTGTGGATTAAACCCGTGGCAAATGAGAAAAATAGGTCAAATAGTAACCATCTCTATCCTCGTCATTTTTGGCCACATTTAGAGGCGAAATTATTTCATTTCTCACCAAGTTGTTACAAATTGGAGTAAGAAATGACAAGTCCGAGTACTAAATATTTATTTCTTCAGATACTGTTCTGTTCATTTCAGGTGAATTATCACATGTCTTTGCAGGGTCCATGATTTTTTATTTATTTTTTTTCCTCTCTCACAAACTCCAAATCATATTATTTATCTTTTAGTTGCTTTTAGTTGTTTTGTAAAAACTGTGCATTTACCGCTGCATCCCTTTCCCACCCCTCAGGTCAAGAGCGATTTGGGAACATGACGCGGGTGTACTACAAAGAAGCCGTGGGGGCATTTGTGGTGTTCGATGTAACAAGGGGCTCCACATTTGACGCCGTGTCTAAGTGGAAGCATGACCTAGACAGTAAGGTGAAGCTGGCTAACGGCAACCCCATCCCCTCAGTGCTGCTCGCCAATAAATGTGACCAGAAGAAAGAGAACTCCAACAGCACAGCTCTAATGGACAATTTCTGCAAAGAAACTGGCTTTCTGGGCTGGTTTGAAACCTCGGCTAAGGTGAGAAAGTGCCAGTGGACAAAAGCCGTTTAATTTTATATGCATTCCTCTTTAGAGCTGGGTGACGCTCTTCTTTTTAAACTTGTGTCCTCTCATATTTATTCTGCACTTTAAAACATCCTACAGCAGCATGAAATGAAAAGTTAAGGCAGGCTGAAATATTTCCTTTAAAGTCAGCCGAGTCATTGTTAAACATGATTAGTGCTGGATTCAAATCACGTTTTACACGTGAATGTGACTTGTGTTCAATAACAGCTTTGTGCTCAGTGCTCATGTAGCAAAGTCAGAATAAAAGGAGATACTTATTCTTTTACTGAACAGATTTTTAAAGACAGGAAATCCTCAAAAGTTAATCCAAAGAGAAGTGAGACATCTTCTGTGTGGCGTAATCACGTTAGGTTGACTGTAGTTATTGTGAAATTGTTACACGTTCTTGTTTTTTTTTTTAGTCAGAAGCCGATTCAGCAGTTGTTCATGTTAGCATTTTTGATTCAGAATTCAGTGTTACATATGGAGGCTTGTAAGTAATTTGCATTAGATTAAAGGGCTGCAATCTGTTTAATGACTTAAAAATTACCAAATACATTGGAACAATTAAATTTCTTTTCAAAAAGACAAGCATCAATCCAGCTGTCTTTGGCATGCATGCATGCATGCATGCACAATATCTGGTAAAAAAAGTTTGTTGGACAGCTGGTGTGATAAGGTATCACATGACAGTGATGGATGTTACAGCCCAGAGCTGCAAGGATTAGAGGGATAAAGGTTTGAATGATAATGTTTTGTAGTGTTTCTTTTCAACTTGCGCCATGATGTCACTGGTTTGCTATTACTATCTTGAGATTGCTGCCCTCTTGCACTTGCTTTGTAAGCTAATTCTCATCTCTCTCTTCCACACACTTTAATTTAAAGGTCCCACATCCTACTGCTTGGAAATATGTTAATGTTGTTTGTTCTCTACGCCCTTTTAAGGGACTGTTATCCACGTAGAAAGAAGGAAATTCAGATACGCTCGTACTTTACAAAGTTTAGAAAAATCTTATTACTCTTTGAGAGTGGATTGGAAATAGGGCCTTTAAAAGGTAATTAATTAACTTATAAAATGTTCCGATGGGTATAATATTTCCATCTGAAATAAAGTGTAGTGCTAAACTTAGTTGTGCTAAAAGTTCTGTGCTTCAGTTGTTAGTACATGTTGTAGAACTTTGTTTTGTGATCATGAATATTCTACATTTTAAGACTCCAGGGAGACCTCTTTTTTTTTTTCCCCCTCAGTGAGCCTCTTCCTTCTTGGAAACTTCAAAATGACAAGCCGATAAACCGGGAAATGCCTACAGTCACGCACATGTACATTTCAAATAACAAACATCCATTATGTTTCCATGTTGTGGAATGCTTTGATGACTCTGGAATCAGCTGTTCCCATTTAGCTCATTCTAAATAACTGTTGTTCCTGGAGCTGTGCTACGTACCGAGTCATGTGACGTGTCTATGTGGGCGTGTGATGAGTGCAGAGCCAGTTCCTTTCTGTGGGTTAATGTTTTGTGTGCCTGTCACACTTGCACTAAACTCAACCCACAACAACCTGCGACTGGGATTCTGTTAATAAGTGCCAAACTTTCATGCTGATTTAAATGACGAAGAGCATATTTTCCCTAATACAGTAAAAGGGGAAAATGCAATGTCACGGTGAACTATGAGTTATAATGTCGTCAACAACCACATGCCATTACAATTTATTAAAAGAAATTACTTTAAGACTGGCTTGATTGAGCTAGCATACCAGTAAGTACTGTTTTTAGCTCAGTAGTCTTTAATAGAGTAAATACTACAAACCAGTTTATTTCATTATATTTTAAATCTTTATTTTATTTCTGTTTGCCTTTACTTGAGGCCTTTTTTGAAAACATCTTTGCTACTGTAGAGTCTGAGCAAAATCCATAAATATTCATTACCTCTTCAACCCATGCTATGACAGCTTTTGGGCCACAGTGTGAAGGACAAAGGCAAACAGTGATTTTCAGCCTGTCTCTGCTGGTCTCACTTTTGTCTTCTGTTACCCAGCTAAATAGGCTGGTTCACATAAAGGGCTTTCGTGAACTTCTGAAACTGCTCTGAGGACCATAGTGCAGGCCAAGGCAGAGGAAATTTCCAGTCTCCATACATACTGTGCTGCAAATGACTTTTTGTTTTAATTATGATTTTTTTTTAATCACCTCTCTAATATATGCTTTGACCTTTCTATAGGACAACATCAATGTGGATGAAGCTGCTCGATTCCTGGTAGAGAACATCTTGGCTAACGACAAAGGTTTGCCATATGAGGAGAGCAATGGAGACAGGATCAAACTGGACCAGGAGACTGTGGCTGCTGAGAGCAAGTCAGGCTGCTGCTAACACTCAATCCATTCACATTAGCCTCCCTTTGGCACCCATCCAGCCTGTGGCTTCTGCTCTCTATTGCAGCCTTGGAGAGGAATATATTTTTTGGGGTTGTTTTATTTTTTTTGTGTCTTCAAAGCTCCAGGAACTTCTCTCTTCACTGATGCCCATTTGACCTCTGTATCCGTAGTTTTTACACAGATACATTTTATTTAGATTTGCCTTAACCGTTCCCCTTCTTGTATCTACACGACTCTTTCAGGATCTTCGGTGCTGTCTTCATGTTAGGGTGCATTTCACCACCACCAGCAAACCTCGCCTCACTCACTCACCCCTTGTTGTTCTGACAGCCTCTGAAGGCTCGAGACTGTATCACACTGTAGAAGGGTTCAATCTAAGCAAAAGGCTGAGAAACCCAAGCTCTAAAATAACCTGTAGCCTTTCAAAGTCTGTGTGTTTTCTTTGCTGTACTTTCTCTCAGCCTCCTTCTGTTTATTTTTGTCACCCAGCAACAAAAAAGTGTCTCAGAACCAACGCAGGTGGACTTTAATGGCCCTTAATTTTTCATCTTACAGCAGCAAATCATGTTTGTGTCTGTAGCTTTTCTCTTTTTTTAGAGTACCGTGTAAAAAAGCAAGTAAATGGGCATCTTAGTTAAGTATTATCTTATTAGAAATGTGTTGTCTTAATGCCATATTTTCTCTAAAAGTGCCTTAATTGATTCATATTTTAGTGAGGCAATGGATCGCGCATTTACTTTACACAGAAGTATACAGCCGGACAATGAAGTATTTCAGTAATATGAGTAATAATAAAAACTTTAATGATGATACTAAATGAGACAATAGGAAACCTTTCTTTGATTGTCTCTCCACTGGTACGATAGTATGTTCATGTATGTTTCAGTATGCATTTTTAAATTGTGTTGGATTATGTATTGTATAACTTTGGAATTTGTGAAAAGCAGAAACGGACTACAAGGACTACGCTCAGTCGTCTTTTTGGATGCTAATCTGTTGAACTGTTCAGATGAAATGCAAAGGATTTTTTTTTTTAAACACGTTTACATGTAGAAATACTTAAACAAAAAAACAAAAAAAACTCAAGACCAAAACTAGAATAAACATTCGAACAGGTTTGTGCTGTCCACTTGTGATTAACTTGTCTGCTCAACTGTATGAATTGATTAAATGTGTTTATCGGAACTCTATACATATGTAACAAGAAAAGGACAGTGTACATTACCAATCTTTTATTACCAATCAATCAATCATGTTGCATAATCTGCTGGTAGATTGTATGAATTAGTAAACGTATGCCGATCCGTATACCTAAAAGATCATAGCAGTATAACTATTCCTTATTATATTAATACCCTGCTTTTATTGGCATGTAGAAATTCAAGCATGGCTGAGCTGGGAATATTCTCCTAGTAACAAATTTCATATTAGCATTATGAGCACAAGCACTAATGCTAATGCTTGTGAGGACTTGGATCTCTTCATAGGAAATACTGCAATTGTTGATCAGAAGTGCTTTATTAACACTAATTTTGAAAACTATATATACCACATTTTAGAAAACACTATACCCATTGTGTTAAACTTACCTTTAAGTAATTCAAAGCACTGACGACAGCTGTATTTTTGAAAACTACAGCGTCTGTGTGTGTGTGTGTGTGTGTGCAGGGTGCTCCATGTGACTCCTCTCACGAAACAGTGTGTGATAGTCATCAGACAGGGTTCTCTCACTACTAGAGCTTGTGCTCTTCCACACACCTAGCACAGAGATCTGCCAGCTGTTAAGCCTACAAGCACTAGTGTAACTTTTTTCATTGTTGGTACTCCAGTCTGCTTCCTCTTATGAAACTCTGCGGCATATTCTGTAGTTTTAGGTAGTAATGCTTTTAATTTCATTTTATGTTAAGGAATTCTTCTAATATATCAAATATACACCGCTTTCTTGTGGTAGATGGGAAGATGCTTAAAATTTAAATATGTCCATCCTTCACTATAGCAACAAGAGACGCAACTGTTCAAGGCCTCTCCCTCCCGCGTTATAGCTCGGTTGCGTAGCAACGCATAAACTTTCAAGAGCAGTTTGACATGGACAGAGAGACGATGATAAACAAAGGCCGCCTCTAGAGGTTCCTTCTCTTACTGTGTGAGTTGCCCGCGTCTTTCCCACAATAATGTCCAAGGCACATCCAAAGAAAAAGGAGTCATCTTCCAGCAAAGTGTCTTTATCCGACCGGCAGACGGAGTGAGTTCAGTGTAATGAAAGGAGAGACATAGTTAGCTTTAGCGTTAGCTACCATTAAGCCACTTAAGAAGAGATGTACTTTAGTATTTACAGTATTTCTTTCGCTGTCTGAGGGTAAAAGGGAACTGGTTGGGTTTATGTAATAAATCGTGGAGCTGGTTAACTGTGTTGTTAAAAACTCGCACAGAACAAATGAAGTATGTCATAATTTCAGAGCAGCGTCTCTAGCAGCCACTTCCTCTGAGAGCCTAGGAGGTGTGGGGAAATACAGGGTCCCCATTTGGCCCGAGTGGAATGATGCAGACGTCAACAGGGAGAAATGGGACTCAAACAGAGGTCCTGAGGATGGCAAGCCAACCAAGAGTCCTAGTGCTGTAAATATGAAGAGGACAATATTTACTTTTTTAAAATAATCAGTTAATTTATCATTACCCAAAATACCCTGTAAAGAATATATGTAATATGTGTAGCTAGGGTTACGTAAATTGTAAAGTTGTGTTAATTTATGGTTTCTGTACTTCACATTCACTTTGTTCCCTTTTGTATGCAGCCATTTTTTGAGGATCCCGAAGGAAAGCTTCTTCTGCCTCCGTGTTTGAAAGTTCACACCTGGAAGCGCCCAGCAGAGTTTATTGTTGACAAGGTAACCTTCATGCTTCTGTTACCTGCCCGCCTCGATTTTGCACTGATGACTGCTGTTATACAAAAGGGCTTTCCACCTAGACATCGGCAGTTCATTTCATGTTTATATACCTTGCAAGGTTAACAATGATATACAGGGTCCAGAATATGCATGCAATAGGTTTACACATGAAATTTTAAGACAATTCCTACTTCCTTTAGCCTTTTTGGCCATTTGTCATTATTGGATACTTTCTAGACTACAGGATAGATCTACTAATAAAAAAGGCAGGCTAAACCTGTTTTAACTTTCTGTGTTTCTTTGCCACACAGTGTGAAATATAGTTATGGAAACATGCTCTCTAGTCACCTCCAATGAAGTTTTAATTGCATCACTCCACTTTTCTGTTACCCCCTTCTTAGTGCAGTATTGAGCAATTACTGCAGGCTTCCTGTTTTTTGTATTAGTCCTTGCCAGGTCACATGCTGCCTTTTCACTCAAGATGTCAAAATCATTTAATTAATTTCATAAAAGAGGAGCAGAGCCGAATCACAAAAGCCATCAGCCATGCAGATGGAGGCAGCAGCTCTTCTACAGCATTCTGTCTTCAGTCTGTTTCCACAGAAAGTATTACTAGATTAGCAACGTTGTTTTTGGATATGGTTTAAATTTGGTTCTTGCTTACAGTTGCTTGCAATTGTACAAAACGTTTTTTTTTAATCTTGCAGCCTGCCTCATAGTCAGCTGACCCATTTATCCATATTTAATTAGTAACATGGTAGAAGCTATGAACTTGGTTGTCAAATATTCAGTGCAGACACAGTTCTGGGAGTGTCATGGTAAGGTTACACCAGTTTAGGCCCTGGGTTGAGCTGACTGTGTAGGTCCCTCATTCTTGTGTACTTTAAATTGGTGACCTTTGACAGCAGTATTGTAATGCTGATATGTTATTATAATGAATGCTATGCACACATGCTACTATACACTTTATACTGACTGCAGCTTTTTCTGTGAGTTTTCTGTGACGATTCTCAAGCGAATAAATGTCTTTTATAATTTACCTACAGTGAAAACTCTTTTGCTTTATTTCAGACTCCCACTGTCGTTGACAATCAAATGACATTTGACCTAGTCTCCCCTAATTGTCATCTGCTTTGTAGTGAGGTTAGTATTCAATATTTGTTTTCTACTTTACACTGACTTGTTGTTAGCTGTCATCCATCAGTGCTCAGATAGTCTAATTCCAATGTCAGCAGAGTGATGTCTGACTGACAGAAACAAATTATATGGGGGAAAATGTAATGCCCTTTGTGAATTAAAAATCAGATGATTGAGGGTTTCGCTAACGGATGCAGACCGATTTTCCTCTCTCTTCTCCATCCTGTCTCTGCTCCATGCTCCATGAAGCTGATGAGGTGGATTGTCAGCGAGATCCACATTCTTTGGATGCAGTTGAACTGCCCATCTACAGAGCACGAGGGATGGAGACCTTGGGGGCACATCTACTCTATGTGTAAGGTGGTGAATGGTCATGTGCCACTTTTCAACAGCTATGGCAAATACATCATCAGACTTTACTGGATGGTAAGGATCCAGACAGAATGCAAACACATACTCAGACATGAGTATGGTTCGGAAGAAGCCCTTTTTACTAGTGAGAATTGCTTTGGTTTGACGTTTATGCAGAACTAGAAAATTCTCCTATCGCTGCTTAGGAAGTCGCAGCTTTACAGCAACTGTTTATTAATGAATCTTTTAAAAATAGGCATAGCTGGATTGCAAAACATTGTCATACATTCTTCAACAGACTGCAGGATGTAGCACATGAGTAGGGAGTGGTAGCGGACTGATGGGGGATGTAGGGGGGGAAGGGATGAGAAAGCCTTATCCTCTCAGAGCTCAAATCAATCAGTCTCGCTGCTGTGCCAAAAGTAGCTGGGCTTCATACATTGCCTGATGAATAGATAAGGCTTAACAGGAGTCAGCTGCTTCTCACAGAGCAAAGCTCAAGTTTGATAACTACACTTAGTAAAACCCTGAGAGCAGGCACAGCCTATGAGGATGATAGCGTCGTTCAGTTTGATTATGTGTAAGTGTAAAGACTTCACAGGTTTAAAAACATCGCACAGGAACACAGTCTGAGGGCTTGCATTAGAATCTCTGTATGGCAGACCTTGCATCTTTGTGTCTTTTCAGAGGGAGAGACAATTTGGGTCAACAAGAGAGTGAAAAAGACAGAGTGATATTGTTCTGTGACTGTGACACTGTGACTCTTGCCTTGACAAACAAGACTGACATGGTTGTAGGCAGCCGTCCCCGTGCCAACCTTAGCACGCTAGCAGATGGTTGTTGAGATGGCATTAAGCACCCAGCCCCCATCACCCTCTTCCCATTTCCTTCGCTGTTTTTCCTTAAAGGCTGCTCCTTTTCTCTCAGTCACGTGATTCTTTGTGGTTCCGTGCCTATATTTTTCCGTATGGATCCTGTCAACACTGTGTTCCCATTCCTGCTTTTCTTGATCTGTCCTACAATTTCCCCAATTGCACTGTATTTTCATCCAACGGTCCTTATCTGGGCAGTGGTTTGACGAGAAAAGGGTAGAGCAAGTGAGAAATGGTATATTCGTTCGACCTCTGTGTGGGTTTGCATTACTTGGGTACACTGTTCTGATAGATAAGGAGAACTGCGGATGTGATTATTTCCTGCTTTGCTGCGTTTCCTTAAGCAGCGTGAAACTCCCTCAGATGGCCTCCAGATAGACCACAACACAGATAATGGCTTAAGACACAAGCATAATCATGGCAAATGCTAAGGAGAAATGTGGGACATCAATACCAAAAGGCTGTCCTATCCTGAAGATGCAACCCCAGTTCCAAAAAAGTTGGAACTCCAAAAAAGTTGTTTATTGTATAAAATAACAAAATAATCTGCCAGATAATCATCTAAACAACACAAATCAATGGTTTAGCCCTCTTATTTGAGGAGCACTCTTTTTTTTTTTTTTACGTCGTTTTATTTTTCACTGTCTTTTCTTTCCTTCCTTCCTTTTTTTCAGGGTTGTTGGAGGAAGATATTAGTGGATGATTTTATGCCATTTGATGAGGACAATAACCTGCTTCTCCCTGCCTCTACCTGTCAGTCAGAGTTATGGCCAATGCTGCTGGCTAAAGCTCTAATTAAAGTGGCAAACACAAAGTGAGTTAACATATGTTCAGACAGAAACTTTATAAGTATTTTAGCACTACCCCAAGGAGCTGGGGAAATAATTTATAATCCTAATGTAATGCTGCTTTAGAACAGACCTCGAGTTTTTTGTAAGTAGCAGCGAATAAGGCCACAGTAAAAATACATCACACAGTATGCACCCCAAGACTGTACACTAAACCTAATTTCAGCAGGGTTACTGTACAGTGTTCAATTTTAATTTATTTCAATAAATATATATGGGGATAAACTATATATGCGTGAAAAACGGAGCAAGTCATTAAATCTGCTCACTTTGTTTTTTGTTATTTCCTCCCCGTCTAAGTGCATTGTAGATGTTTTCATGTTTCCAATTTTCACCGTGAAACTTAGTTTCAGGACGTTAATCTCTAAGCTGGCAAACATATGTGTGTTGCCCACATTTGTTGAAAAAATTTGAAGCTTACACACATGCACAAGAACCCCTGCGGAGTGCCATTTGCTGACTTGGCTGTACCTTCCCAGGACTTATCCTGTGTATTTGCCATGGGTGTAATTTGACAGTGTAATTTGGTGGCAGATAGACAATGTTCATGCCTCTGATGGGGCTGTTCTGTTGTCGCTTGAAGGTTGAGACATAGATGTTTCAGCTAGGGCAGAAAATAAAGAGTCTTCCTCATAATAATAATAATAATTTATAAGACATACGTTTTAATATAATAAATGTCTAATTTACCTGTTCAGGTGTTCGCTACTGCTTTTCAGAAAAACTTTTTGTCATTTTTTTGTGAAAAGCTGAATATGAGGTCTCGTTCACTTTGGTGCTGAGCAGGATTTTTGGCAGGATTAAAGACTATGGCATTACCATGTAAGTTTTATGAATTTCACTTACTCGAACATAGCATGAACGTGGACTGGACTCCCAAAAGGACCAATTAAAGCAAGGGCAGCTGTCTCTTTCAAGCGAAAATTGTGTGAGAAGGATACCTAATATAGACATTCTTGCACACACACTCCTCAGAATTATTTGAGCAGTTACAAGGTTTACCAACTAATGCAAATTCAACAATGCTGAATGTAGCCTGAACCTAAATTTTTGGTGTTCTTGATATGTATTAAAAAAAAAAAACTATACTATAAAAATGCCCAAGTCAGGATAATGTGACTCTTAGAATACTACTAGGTATCAATGACCTTTGTTGTCCTATTAGCTGTAATTCAAAAGCATGACCGGAAATTAATGACACAATCTAAACACACAGTTCTTTACTATGTTTGAAAACAGAAAGACACATTCAATATTTCTTCTCAGTTAACAGCATTCTCATGATTTAACCACCCTGTCACCAATCACATTAAACACTTATTTCCCGCGTTGAAACCGTCACCTCACATGATCTGTTTGAGAACAGTGCCAGTGCTAAAAATGGTAGTTTGAGTGCTGTATCTGATATGTTGCATATTTTGAACAAAAGAAAAGAAACGGTTCTTATGTGTTTGTTTCTCAGTTTGTCAGATGTCTGCGGGGGGATGGACCAGTTCACTTTTATCCACACCCTCACCAGCTGGATTCCAGAAACTCGTCCTATAAAGTAAGGACTTTAATGGTTGACCATACTTTTTGATCTATTGTATGATATGTGCTTTGTATGTTCTATGTCACTTTCTGTTCAATAAATTATACACTGACGGGATGCTTCATTAGTACACCTGTTCAACTGCTCATTAACACAGGTATGTCAGCCAATCACATGGCAGCCACTCATTGCATTTAAGGATGTCAATATGGTCATGATGACCTGATTTAGCTCAAAATGAGCATCAGAATGAGGAAGAAAGGTTATTTAAATGACTTTGAACATGGCGTAATTGTTGGTGCCAAATGAGCTGGTATAAGTATTTCAAAAACTGCTGATCTACTGGAATTTTCCCACACAACCATGTGCTCCAAAAAAGAGAAACTATCCAGTGTGGAGGATATTGTCTTGGCAAACTTTAAGCCCCCTAGACATTCAAACACAACAGCCACCTGAGTATTGCTGTTGACTACATCGATGACTTTATGTAATGTGCCATGACTCAAACCTCGCATCATCTCAAACTGGTTTTGTGAACATGACAGTTAGTTCACTTCACTCAAATGGCCTCCACAGTCACCAGATGTCAATAGATCCAATAGAGCACCTTTGGGAGTGTGGTGGAACTGGAGATTCAGATCATGGATGAGCAGCCAGTAAATCTGTAGCAACTGTGTGATGCTGTGATGTAAATACCAAAATCTCAGAGGAATGTTTGAAGGCAATCGGGGAATCCAGTACTGGCAAAGTGTACTAATAAGGTATCCAGTGGATATACATGGAATATATGTTCCATTTACTGTGTGTCTTTGTTAACAGGGCTGATATTTTTAATTTTTTTATATAGTTTAAGGTCTGTGGCAAAAATAATGCAGAAAATTGCATCTGTAGGAGATGGAAGGAGATATGTTGTATACTGGGGGGAGAGTAATATCAGTGTAGAACTGCAGCTCATCAGTGATAGAGCTTTAATGGGGCAACAGTATTTGTTGGTGGAGCCAGGGAGTGTTATTCTCTGTAGCTCAGCAGGTTAGCTGTTGTTAGTGGGTCGCCTGGGGAATCTTATCAGCACGTGCAATAAATGAGCATGACATTTGTTTGTGTTTCAGACTGATTAATGAAACATGAAGTTGTAGTTACTTATGCACTTGCCCACACAGAATACACAGGATCTAATATACCTCACTTACTGCAAGGTAGAAGTTCTGACAATATAAACATAGTAAATAAATATATCATTATGTTAAATATTATGTGACACTGTAAAGTACCCTTAGGATGCTTCTTTCTTTTGCTTGTAATATTCAATTAGACTGCTAAACACAAAGACGGTCAAAAACGCTAAAATAAATAACACATTTACATCCTCTCTGCCTGTACTAATAACAAGTAACTGTATATTAGTGCAGCTAATACTGCCACTTAGCAATATTAGCTCAAGTTGTTTTTATTCATGCACTGCAGCCCTAACCTTTCTAGACATTACCATACTGAGTTATGCATGAGAACTTCAGAATCGTTCGGACCGGACATTAAAGGACTTGGCTTTTCCTTTAAGCTCCACAGTACAAAGTCGATGTAATGTCCGATTGAGCTCATGCAAGAATAGAGAAATTGATTGCATGGAGAAGTCAAATGAAATGAGTTGGTGACACATGTTCATCTCCTGGATGCTCTGTCCAGTCATCACCTGTTTCCAAACCTTTGAAAGTGCAGACTGGTGAAGCTGGTATACCTGAACGACACTACAGACTTTTATTTTTGCTCATTCATTTCTTTGTGAGATGTTCAGGGGGTTTCTTGCATGTACTGGCTGTAGTATCAAGTCCACCTCCCCCACCTGTCCACCTCCACCCCCGAATCAGTGAAAAAGTCAATAATTTCCTTTGGATGCATGCTTGCTTTTTCACATGACTGTGTATACAACAGCCTATTGTATTGCAAACAAAGGGACAGTATAGGAAGAGGAACTGAAATTGCAGTTGTCACAAAGACACTAAGCAAAAGTGTACTTCATTTGACATCAGACACACTTAAAGTTGGAATGAGTTACAAATAAAAAGGGTTTAACTCACAACTACTAGGGTTAAGCCTTGTTTAACTTTTCTGAGCTGAGCAGTTTCAGACCTGCTTTCCATTCATTCAGGCCTGCTTTCAGAACAAAATGACTGGGTGTGCATCAGAAATTAGTGAAAATGATCTATACCTATAGACCTTACAAAGGATAACCTTGGAAAAACGCGGGAGCATGGTATAATGGTTGTCAAACAACATCTTTATTGATATACAGTGGGGCAAAAAAGTATTTAGTCAGCCACCGATTGTGCAAGTTCCCCCACCTAAAATGATGACAGAGGTCAGTAATTTGCACCAGAGG